TAAGCCCAAGGAAAACTAGGAAATTCCAACTTCTATTATCGATGCAGAAACCTATCAAATCAAGTCCGATTGACTCCAAATTTTGCACGCAAGTCATAAATGACGAAGTGGACCTACTTCAACTCTCGGAACCATAATACGAGCCCGATAACTAAAAAGTCAACTCTTGGTCAAACTTCTCAATTTTCAAAACTTCTAATTTTCCAACTTCCGCCATTTCAAGCCTAAATCAACTACGGACCTCCAATTCGCTATCCGAACATTCTCCTAAGTCCAAAATCACCCAACAGAGCTATCAGAACTATCAAAACTCCATTCCGGATCCGTTTACACATAAGTCAATATCCGGTCAACCTTTTTAACCATCAACAACCACAATTGGCACTGCCCATCAATATAACCTACCACCACCCACCTAACACCTTCCTCAATCACAACTACTACCACCACCCGATATTATTAACTATCACTACCCACCACCACCATCCTTAATCATAATCGCCACCACTACCAATCACTACTAGCTACTAGCATGAACCACCATCATCAACCAAAACTACCACCAACCACCGCCTCTAATCGGCACCCGTTAGCCATCACCATCAACAACTATCATATTTTAAAAAACTATATATTTTATTGATAGAATATTAGATTAGTTAGTATTTCATTTGAATTTTATGTTTATTAATTTTCAAATAAAGATAAATTTTATACATTCAGATGTTAAAAATCAAACAGTCTTAATTATTTCTATTCTGATCTTAATACACATCTTAATATATTCAGATGTTTATTCAGATTCAGATATCTTAATCTTAATACACATCTTGACGTCTTAATCTTAAAAAAACAAATGAGGCCTAAGACCATCTTATTATAGAAGAGATGAGAGATCATATACCTGTACTTCGGTCAACCCCATCCCAGTGTCGCCCTGGTCTTATACCATAACGATTGGGTGCCGCATCCAATCCTCTTTTTATCCAACTGTGAGAAGGTATTTCCTGAGGGATTATAAAACCTGAGTCCTTCATTTTGTCATTAGCTCCAAAGTCCGGCAGACTTGGCTCTAAGTGCTTTTTCTGCAACATCCAAGAATGTAACCATATTTAGAGACACAGAAGGAGCTAAAGGGAACCACTCACATCATGAAAAACACACAAAATCCAGTAACTGGCAATCATCCACCCCAGCACAGATAGAGTAGATGCCTGCAAAAAGAAAGTGGTCAGAAAAAAAAAATCACCTTAACCAAATGTGCCATTGGGTCACCCCATCGGACTCTTTCCTTCAACATACTGTCTAGTTCTGGATCATCTCTGCAAGGCAAAAATTAAACACGTACAAATAGACTGCCAACCAACCACTTGAACTAGGAGAAACACTCTAGAAAGCAAGAGTTTAAAATAAGTAAGAAAAATATTTTCACTATAAGTTTAGCCACATTAGTAAGAATGAAACTAAGGTAGGTTAGACGATTTTGAAGTGCCTAAAACGCAAATGATTCGAATACATAGACTCAAATCTTACAATAGAATAGCACGATAGCGGATAGACAAAGATGTAACATACAAAATTATCAAGCGATGGCTAAAGTGGAAGAGTGCTACCGGGTTACCGGTTATGTGACAGGAGGATACTTGCCAAGAAGAAAGTATGTGAGTAGCAATGTTATTTGCGAATGAATTTTGGGCCTCTAAAACCCAACACATCCACAAGATGAGTGTCATAATAATGTGGATGATAACCAAGGAAGATGTCGTGAATGCTGTGAATTTGTTTTACAGACGAGAGAGATTTGAAAAAAGTCTCAGCTCTACCTACATTGCTTTAATCCCAAAGAAACCAGGGGCAGTGCAGCTAAGAGATTTCAGCCCTATTAGCCTCATTGGAGGCTGTTACAAAATACTTGCCAAAGTACTGACAGAAAGACTCAAGCTGGGGGTTCATAAGCTGGTAGATAACCCATCGATGGCTTTTGGAAAAACAGGCAGATTATGGATGCAGTTATTATTGCTAACAGAAGTGCTGACAGTAGGACGAAGGAAAATAAACCTGGTATTCTTTGCAAATTGGACACTGAGAAAGCATACGACTATGTGAATTGGAATTTTCTCCTCAATGTTCTAAAAGAAATGGGGTTCAGAAGGAAATGGAGGAGCTGGCTCTTTTACTGCATCAACACTATCAGATAATCTCTCTTGGTAAATGGAACTCCAGTAGGTATTTTCCCTTCTCAAAGAGGTTGAGACAAGGCGATCCTCTGTCTCCTTTTCTTTTTATCATGGCCATCGAATGTTTCAGCCACATGTTAAAGATCAACAACAACAGACACAGTGAAGTCCAACAAGTGGGGTGAGGGTAGTGTGTAAGCAGACCTTACCCCTATCCCTACACTGGGAGGGTAGAGAGGTTGTTTTCAATAGACATACATGTTACAGATCCCTAAACAGAATGAATGCATTAGGGTTTCAGGATGGACAACAGTGGACACAGCTGAGCAGACTGGAAATCTCTCATCTTATGTATGCAAATGACACGCTTGTGATGTGTGATGCCACACTGGAACAACTTCAACATCAAAGGGTGATACTGACTGTGTTCGAATTAGTGTCTGGCCTTCATGTCAATTGGAGGAAAAGTCTTATTTTCCCAGTGTATAGAGTTCCAAACATCAAAATACTGGGTGGTGTGATGGGCTGTGAGATAGGATGTCTTCCTACTACTTATTTGGGTTTATCTTTGTGTGCAAGGAATAAGTCCTCACCGATTTAGCAAGGGATTATAGAATGAAAGAAAGATGTGAACAGAGGTGGGCAAGATGGGAGAGTTGGTACTTATCTCCGGCCGGGGGGGGGGGGAGGGGGGGGGTGGAGATAGTACTNACCAATTGGCACTGCCCCATCCAATATAACCCTACCACCACCCACCTAACACCTTCCTCAATCACAACTACTACCACCACCCGATATTATTAACTATCACCACCCACCACCACCATCCTCAATCATAATCGCCACCACTACCAATTACTACTAGCTACTAACATGAGCCATCATCATCAACCAAAACTACCACCGCCTCTAGTCGGCATTCACTCGTTAACCATCAGCACCAACAACTATCATATTTTAAAAAACTATATATTTTATTGATAGAATATTAGATTAGTTAGTATTTCATTTGAATTTTATGGGTAAAGACAAAATTTTATACATTCAGATGTTAAAAATCAAACAGTCTTAATTATTTCTATTCAGATCTTAATACACATCTTAATATATTCAGATGTGTATTCAGATTCAGATATCTTAATCTTAATACACATCTTGATATTCAGATTCAGACGTCTTAATCTTACAAAAAAAAAAAAGAAACAAATGAGGCTTAAGTGTCTCAACTCGCTGCGAAACTTCCTTGGAACCGAACCAACTACCCCCGAAAGTCACATAGCAACTATTAAGCATAAAATGAGCAGTAAATGAAAGACATGGCTACAACTCTCAAAACAATTGGCTAGGTCGTTACAGGAAATTACTTGTAGACTTTTCCCATAAAAAATTTCAAGTAAACTTCTTTTGTTGACACTACTTAATCAAAATTTTCTTGTGAAAGAATTCGCAAGTAATTTACAAACAAAATTATAATCCCTAGGTAACTTTTCTAAGAATTTAAAATTTCTAAATAACTTACTTGGGGATTTATATACTTTTTTTACATGCCCAATTTTACGTTGCACTTTCAAGAGAGATTAATATTGATAAACAAGAGTTGTAATCATGAAAGAAATCAATCGAAACAGATGAAATTATATTACATCAGGAATATCATCTATAAGGAAACATTAGTTGAGATACGTTTCATTACATGTTTGTAACTTATAAACTCAAAATAAGTAAGAAAAATACATGTACTTAATTAAAGTTTAATTTGTCATCTTCATATGGAGTTATTTGATATCCAATTATCTTGGCGACAACAAACAATCATTATACAACGATCAATATTAATCATTTACAGAAACTTGCACTTTATTCGTTCGTGTATAATTATTTTACTGAAATCTTTATTTTGATAATATTATTTTACAAAATCGTAGACAATATGACTCGATATACAATAGCAACATACGTGCCGAGAAACTACATGTAGGAGATGTGGTAGACTTCGTAGCTTAGGCCCTTTATCTAACCGTAGCTCTACATGTTCATTAATAATGCTAGCTCGCTTAAAATAGATATATTATATCCATTTGAATCATCAACTTCATTCTGTTTCTGCAAGTGAGTACCTAGAACCTTATCTCTATTTATTATGTTCTTATATGTAAATGTCATAAGAAAAGCTATTATCCAAGTCGATACTTTTTTTTAAAATGGGCTCACACCATTCTCCTCCTTTTTAGTTTTCTATAGCTTTACTGGGCCCTCATGTTTCTTATTTTTCACTAAATCAGGGAAAGCCAGGTAATACTACCATACACCTGTTCACTCTTTTCAAGTTTAAGACTGGAGCAGTGTAAAATTTTCGTTTTTGAATGTATAATAATAATTGATTTTTGGTTTTTATTTTTATTTCCTTCATATTTTGTTCTATCAAAATTTGACATCCTTTAAATATGAAAATTTAATTCTTAACTCTTGTTTGTCTTCTTTCTTTGTTTATTTTAAATTAATCTTTTCATAATTTTGAAACTTTTTTTACAAAATTATTAATTTAGCTTAGCTCTCTTTCGAAGCGCGAGTTGAATTAAAATTAATAAAGTAATTAATTTTAGTTTTTTTTAATATAGATCACATTGACGATTGCATGATAAAACTTGTAAGAAATTTCTAAAGTTTTAATAAATTCCAAATTTATAAAGGTAAATAGATTTGTTGTTAAAATTTAGGTTAAATTATAAATTATTTTATATAGTGCAACTTTGAAACAAAATAAAGAGTAGCGCATAAAATTCTTTTTCAAATTTTGTTAAGAACCGAAATAAAAAGAGCAAATTAGTAAACTCTGCTTGTTAACTCAGTGTCGCTCATACTGTCGATTGTGGCCGAGGATTTCAGTATGTGTCTGAACCCGCTTGCATAAAGTTCTGGGTCTGCCACTGTCTGCAACCATGCATGAAGTGAATTATTACTTTCTATTTCTGAGACAGCAACAATGTTGTACCTGATGCAACCAGGGGCATACGCAAAATTTTTAATAAACGGTGTCACAATTAATGAAAAGCCGAACATGGTAGCAGCAAGCCAGCACAAATAAAAATTGCTAATCGAAGGAGGGTTTTTTCCTAATTGAGTGTTTAAAAGGTGTCAAATAGAATTGATATTATTTTTCTATAGTAAAGCATCCTCTGTCTCATGGGGATGTTTGCGGTTCGAATCCTAAAAAATATCAGCCCCTCAACGGTTCGAATCTCAAAAAATATCAGCCCCTCTTTCTAAGAGAAGCAGGCTCAAAAAATGAAAACTCATCATGTGCTGTCTAAATCAATGGCTTGACCATTTGAACTAACAACGAATGTTGTAAAGTGGTGTCACTTCAAACAATATGTAGGTCATTACTGTCGCATGCCATCTACTGCAAAATTATTTAATTAAAATTTCCGATGAAGCGGTGTTACGTGACACCGCTTCGAACTGGATGCAACACCAGATTTTCTCTTTCGAAGTTTGCAAGAATCCCTCCAAACTCAACTCTTCTGATCCCCACAAGCCCTGCATTAACCATCCAACTATCGAAATAACTAACACAACCACTAGAACCAAGTAATTTCGCGGTAAAAGCTTCTTAAAACATTAAAATCATGTCATATATGGTGACAGGGATCAGCATAGATATCAGTAAATGTAAAAATATTAATTATATGTCATGTTTTATATCATTTACTATAAACTAATTATGAATAACTTCATAGTTTTAGTTAACATTGCTTGCTTGAAGTTGATTATATCCGTTTGGGTCATCAACGTCGTTCTGTTTATGCAACGTTGAAGTGGATCACTAATATTTAGAATACTTAATATTTCGAAGAATACAAAATGCTCGACACCAATTTCTACATTCAAGCTTGGCTAGCCCGTAATTAGTAGTAAAAATAAATAAATTGAAGGATAGCTTATTTGAATATGCTAACAATAAGTAAGAAATCAAACTTGTTATTTAAGTTTGAATAACAGGTAATCAATTAGTCATCTTGCCAACCATTTATATGATGCTTTTGTCGAATGAATTCCGTCCCAACTGATGCGACCATTGGGATCAGCGCACACTACAACTCCTGGAGCTCCATATATTGCACTTGCTTCATAATTGTAATCTACTAATTCACAACAAGTTTTCTGTAGTGAGTTTTTGTCAAATCCTTTAACGAATTTCAATCAAGATAAAGTTTGTAAATACATATGACTTTCTTCACTTTGCCACCTATAGTATGAACATTTAAAAGACATATAAAAAAGCAAAAATAAACATGGAATAGCAAACTGATATTTTAAGCACTTACCAAGACTTGCAGCATTTTGTGTAAGTCACAGATAGGCATTGTAGTAGTCAACATAAACGAGTATAATGTTTGGATACTCTTTCTTCAGCTCATCAATGGCTTGTTGCAAGTGATGATTGTAGATGATTGCCAAATTATATAAATCCTTCTAACAATGGTAATCATCATCATAGGCAGTTATTTTATTGGTCATGAATTGCGTTAGGTAAATTGGTAAACAACCAATTGGAAAATTGCATGGAACTACAATTCGAGTTGCCCCAAAATCAATGACCCTCTTAATTAATTAGGAATTTAAAAAAAAAATAAACCAGAAAAATAGTCAAGCTAAATTCAAAATACAAGAACCATTCACTAATCTCTATCTCTATTTATTTATTTATTATAAAAGCATGAATACAATGTTGGTAGACCAAAATAGCCCTAAAATATTAGTTGACTTTTAATATTATTTATGTACAAAAACGTAAAAGTAACTCATTAATTATAGAGTTCAAGTCAAATTGGTACATAGATACAAGTAAAATAAATTTTTGCGTTCAATTTTAAAAAGTTGTGAAAGCGGACCCATATGTTTTGTTATTAATCAATTGCAACAGTAAGAAAATTGGACTTATTATATAAGGAAAAAGAGAATAAGTTTTCGATAACTTTTCAAGTGGGAGTATAAAATAACTCTTGTGATTGTTTCTGGTATTCCGAAAATAGTGTAGTACGTAGTAGTTTTTAAAACCTCTTTTCTGTTATAAATAGAATTTTATTTATGGTGAATGTCTATATTTAGGGAGATTCTAGGGTTTATTACTTGGTGGCTAAGTCACCCACTCCCTATAAATAGAGGGCTCTATTCCATTGTAATTCATCCCAAAATTCAATAAGAATTCTCTCCCTACTTTTCTCTGCAATATTCTTCCTCTTCTTTTATTGTTTTATAACACGTTATCAGCACGACACTCTAACCAATTGAGTAGAAGCTTTGGGATTGAGCATAAGGATTGTCAATTATTCCATGAACTTCCTTCATGATTAAATTCTGGATTTAAGGTAAGTATTTTACCGTATTTTTCTCTTTTATTCTATACTTTGATTTTAAATACAAGCAAAGACAACAAAGTTTGATTATAACTCTAATGGAGTTTGTAAGAAATTATAACCACCTGAAGTGGTAAAAGTTTCTATGTCTTGTCATGATCAAATTCATGTATGATTATGGGCACAAAAAGTAGGAACCCGTCCCATTGAATTTGCTCCATTCTCATTCCCTTAAGAGAATGTGATAGCAGTATGTGATAAATCTGAAAGAAGACAAAATTATCATTATGAATGTATCAATGGATGTGGACGTGGCAATAGACGAAATTATAATCGTCATCATTGTGATAATGAGAATAATAAGGATTCTCAAAATAATCCTCCACTTGTGAAAATACTTGTCATCGATTTGACATGAGATTTTATAAAGCACATATAGATGATTATGGTCTATTCATGATGTGAATGTGACAACATCTGATTTAAGAATACATATTCATTTTTGGAAGAATATGAGCGTGCTAGTGGTATATACCACACTCACCTCTAGAAGGAGGTTTGAGATGATATAAGAAAATAATATCATTATTATGGCATGAATGGTCATTGGTCACGTACCTATTGTACGCCAAAATATTTTGGCATTGTGATTATTAAAAGTCAACGGTAATGCAAGAAACAGATCTTGCATATAATTTTGACCATAACCATAATGGTATAACTTTCTCTTTAAAAGAGATATTCACCATATGGGTGTTGATGAATATGTGGTACTACAAAATTAATTGAGAACTCTGCAAGAGCCAATTAGACTATTTTGGAGAAACACAATTAATTACCAATTAGATATTGTGTTGTAGTAAGTCTCAAAGAAACTTATTCAGTTTCCAAAGTATACGCGAAAGCGGTTGATTATATTGAGACTATAAATAAAGGAAAGATTTAATATCTTCTATTACTACATCTTGTAGCGGGGTAATATTTATGTGAAAAGCTACCCGCTTTATTCTCCAATTTGTACTACATAAACAAAAGAATACCACAATGAAGTGGATATTTATTGATATAAAAACCCTTATCATAATAAACTTGGAGTTTATTGATAATTGCACACGTCATGGTGTAAACCTAGTCTTTATCATTATTGATAATTTATCTAGTTGGCATAATCAGTTTAGCCATATCAATTTAAGCATGATGTGCAAAAATAAAAGAGAATTCACATGGGTAAATATTAAAGAACTAGAAAGTTCTTTACGAATTCTCTTATGTTGCCTGTTCTCATTAATTAATATACTAACTAAAATTGGGATTGAATTCCATGAATGCTGGAAATATCAAAGGTGAATATGGGTCCATTCACCTGCCAATGTTACCACATAAGATGCATCTATGAGATGGTTACATGTGCGATTATTATTAATCCGCAACATGGTGTTTGCGAGGTAACTTGCTCAATAATTTGATTTAGAGCATAATTTCCAGATTTTTTATTCAAGATATCATCTTGATAAGTTGGTTTTTACATCACAGTTGGTTTAGCAAAAGAATTTATTGAGTGCCTCCACTTAATAGCTAAACTATTGCTTATGAGAACAAAGTTATCTATATCAGTTTGATATACGTTATATACGAAAGTATATTATTTTCTCACCTCATAAGTGGTTCAGGGTCAGGAACCAAATAATTCCATCTTATTATTATTGATGTGCGGGGTATATTTTGATTAATATCATAACGCACAAAGATGAGTTCTCAAAGTTGAGGAAAACAAGTTAGTTTTTCTAACATGAGGGGGAGACATGATAAGCAGTTGAGAAAAAGTTATGTGGAATGAATTATCATTTGTACATCTAGATCCTCGAATAAGATAATATGAACTTGAAGTTCATAAAAGGATAATTCATGTGCAATTTATTACAAAGCATGCCGGACGCATTTGCTGACCCAAAGAAAGTAACTATATTCTCGCTGCAAATGCTCATATTATAATAGTCCTAGAAGGACAAAGTCTATGGTACGCTTAAAGCGTATAGATAGATTGGTTTCAAATAAACTTCTTGATAAAGAAGGTGAGCAAATGATCAAAATGATCATAATAAAGGAGGCAAGTGATCTAGAAGATCACATGACATAACACTTCATAAAATCTCATGAAAGATTCAGGTACCTGAACATATGACTGAAGAGATCTCTATGTTATGTCTTTATGAAAAATAAGGAGGTTGGAACCGATATAAAATGTTTGTCGACGACATTGATAATAGCGCTAAATATATATATGAGAATCTTATGTCTATAGAAACAATTCAAGTAGAATTGGTTTCATATGAAACACATGTTGTTTTGGACCTGCAGTTCAAACACTTGAAAGTATAAAGTCAATAGTGTGTGCAATCACTTTTATTTATCTTATATGTCTAGCATGACATGAAAAGTTGATATGCATCTAAAGTCTATTTAAATGGCTTATTTGACTATACTTATATGACAATCCCCAAATGATTTAAATTGCTTGAAGCATATACAATTCTTGATCTTGAAGTACTACATCCTCAGTGCAATTTGTGCACATATGTATCTTGCTATAACTATAAGCATGATAATGTGATAGCGAGGATTTTCAAGGTGCAACATATTCATTGGAGTTAATATGGCGGATTTATTCACCAAATCTTTGCCGACGTCAACCTTCAAGAAGCTAGTGTACAAGATTGGGATGCGAATGCTTAAGGATGTGAATTGATGCTCTCATCAGGGGGAGTTAATACGCGTTGTACTCTTTTTCCCTTACAAGGTTTTGTCCCACTGGGTTTTCCTTGCAAGGTTTTTAATGAGGCAACCAAAAGGCGTATTGTTAGATATGTGTACTCTTTTTCCTTTACTAGAATTTTTTCCCACTGGGTTTTATTTTAGTTAAGGTTTTAACGAGGCACATTATCTGTTGAATAGACATTCAAGGGGGAGTGTTATAAATAGAATTTTTTTTATGGTGAATGTCTATATTTAGGGAGATTCTAGGGTTTATTACTTGGTGGCTAAGTCACCCTCTCCCTATAAATAGAGGGTTCTATTCCATTGTAATTCATCCCAAAATTTAATAAGAATTTTCTCCCTACTTTTCTCTGCAATATTCTTTGTTTTATAACATTTTTTTTTTTTTAATAATTGAGTAACTTGGTTCCAACTTCCGAGAGTATTGTACAATATTTTAGATGGTTAGCTTAATTTGTATAGTACGCAGTCTTTTGAATATTAATGTATTAGCATTTCATTTTTTATTTTTCATTTAGTTAAATATTTACGATAAATTTTCAAAACATCTATTTCAGACATTTTTCAATCACGAATATACTTATCTTTTATTTTACTTTTTACATTTTTGTCTATGCTCACTATATTTTGCTATATTACTCTTAATTAGATAATAGTTGATTCGTACTATAGATTTGCATAAAATTTTGAGGAAAATATTTGTTCATACAAACTTGCTAAAGTACACAACTAACTAACCTGGTGATCTTTTTTAACTTTCTTAAAATTAAAAAAATTCATCAATTAATAAATTTCCGTCTACTCACTCTTCTTTTTCTTTTTATTGCGATTTCCAATTAATATTGTGTTGTACGCTTCAATTATAAGTGATTTCTCTTAATTTATGTGGCAAAGATATGCTCAATGTTAATTTCAAAGTTTTTAAGAGGAAAAGAATCCAAATTATTTAGGCCTGAAAACGAATAGAAAACAGCAAATGAAAAACAAAAAAGGCAGCACTTTATGTCATACATTAAGTAAACTGATTTTTATGCCCTTTAAAAGCTAAATTATATATTTCTTCTACAAAATAATTTTTCGTTGGAGGATCATAATATATAAAACTTTAGTCACTATGAAATTCAACCAAAAATCACAACTCATTAATAATATAATAAAATACTTTACAAGAAAAAAAATATACTTTTTCAAGTGAAAATGGTATTTGGAATTTAGAGTTGTGTTTGGACATAAATTTCAGTTTGGGTTGTTTTTGAAGTTTTGTGAGTGATTTGAGTGAAAATTTTGGAAAACAATTTTTTGAAGTTTTCAAATTTTTCGAAAATTTCCAAAATGTATCTTCAAGTGAAAATTGAAAATTTTATGAACAAATGCTGATTTGGAAAAATGTAAAAAAAATTGAAAAAATCTTCCATCAAACTTTATGTCCAAACGGGCACTAGGTATTGCTGCATTCTTTAAGCGATTTACAACTATAATTGCATAATTATATCATTTTAGAATGTTTATTACATTTGAAAAGTGTTTGGTAATAGTTGACTTAATATATTCGTGCGCCGCACGAACTTAGAAACTAGTAACTTAAGAAAGAAAGAAAACGCACTTCAATAGCATTAATAATAGTCTGAATAATGTTTGGGACGATGATTGTCAACTCTTCCACCGTTTTACCTTCAAATAAGCCAAAATTGAGATCGTCTCCTCTTCTTACTCCAACTAGGAAAAGAGATGTATTTAGGTTTTCTGGACAATCCAACAGGACAAACAAATCACAAAAATTAGGGCTACTTGCCATTAATTAGCTTCTGGAGTAAAGATTAAACCATATATACCATTTTCTTGAAGTTTAATTAATTAATACCGGCGGGGAAGGTGGTTTTGAAATGAGAAAACATCCAATCAAGTTGCACATTTAATGAACTCTGTCTCCCAATCAACAATCTTATTCTCTGTCGAGATTGAAGCAGGTAAAGCAGTAGCTCCTGCTACTGCAAAATTTACGCCATGTATAAAATTTGCACTTCGAAGCAAGTAAGGGCTTAGGAAAGGAAGTGTCACGACCCAATTCTCACCGTGGGTCGTGGTGGCGCCTAACGTTGCCATTAGGCAAGCCAACAATAAAAAACACGCCGAAATAGTTCATAACACATTTGGAAACAAGTGATGAAGTAAATAAGCGGAGTCGTTCCGTTTTTTATAGTAAAATACTGACACTATCGTCAAGGTTTGAACATGATAGAAACATAAATCTGAATATCATAAAAGAAATACAATTGAAAATAATAGTCTAAATCTCCAAAACTCGGTGTCACAAATGTATGGGCATCCACTACAATATACAATACTACTACAACAACTGTCTGGAATAGAAAATAGATAGAATACAGTAAACGAATAAGAATGGGAATCCGTGTGCTGCGGATCGTAACATAGAGAGCAACTCGCCACACAGCCTCCTCCGCAGCTACACCGACACGCCTGTATGACCACCAAATGTACCTGTCTCAGCACATGCATAATTAGTGCAAAAGTGTAATATGAGTATATAAATCAGCGTGTACCCACTAAGTATCTAGTCTAACCTCGAATAAGTAGTGGTGAGCGGTCGACATCGACACTTACTAGTAGCCTAGTAAACATAGTACAATAAAAGTAGACAAGTATGAAGCATAGCAAGTAGCAATGAAAACAGATATGTGTGTACAACATGATCCTCAACAGAAGAATAAATATGAAATTCTCGAATACCTAATACTACCTCGAGTGGAATATAAATGACTATTATCAGGTGCAAACGTCAAATCTGAGTTAGGATACTTATATATGCGCTTACTACCTATCAAAATATTATGCACGATTCTATTGAGGTGAACATTATGGTACCATAAGAGTGTTTCATAGAACTGCAAAGGCGAACAAACCGATCCCATAAATGTATCTCATAATCCAACCGAGGCGAACAACCCCCTCCCATAAGAGTGATGTTACATGATACTGCCGAGGTCATACGGCCTGATCAATATATGCATATCATAATACTGCCGAGAGACGAATGACTCGATCCATAAATGCACCTCATAATTCTGCCGAGGCGAACGACCCACTTCCATAAGAGTAGTGCTGAGGCGATCAATCCGATCCCATAAGAAAAGTAAAACTTTCGACGGGTCATCAGCCCAACTCACGAATATACGTGCGAGTTAAGAAATCAAGAAACTTCCGAACAAATAAAGTGCAACACGGGAGTTTCCGTAAGAGAAAGTGTAATTTCCGCAACTAATCAAGTAGCGCGCCAATTTTCTAGAATAACAAAGCTCAATACTCTACGCAAGACTAGAGTAAGGCTAAAACATAAATTAAAGCATTAAGTAGGTAAGAATAACTTAAGTAGTACAGTTAAAGCATAGTGTGAGTCTAAGTCTATCAGACATAATCAATAATCTAGCATACGCACGGATGCTCGTCACCTCATACGTACATATCTCCCATAACACATAGCATATAACAAATATAAAGTGTACGAGGGTAAATTTCCTCTTACAAAGTTAGACATGAAAAATACCATACCCCAAAATCCAATAAGCAGATGCACATTAACACGTCAAACCACAGCTAAACGGTCTGAAACTAGCCAAAGAACGTGCAAACCAATAAAAACATATTCAAGAACTCATAATTTAACAATTACAACTAATTCTGAACCCCACAAGAAAATGCAACAAAAGTCAACCCTGAGCCCACGCGATCGGATTTCGAAAATTCTCAAAAAAGAAAAATAGTACCACAGACTAAAATATATAATTTGTTCTCAATTCCATATCCAATTTTGTGGTCAAATAATCTTTTTACCAAATTCTAGGCTTCCAACCAAAATTCCAAAACAACCAACAATCTCTACCAATTTCTATGTTAAATTGCGTATATAATCCATGTATTTAGCTTACAATAAGTTGGAATAACTTACCTTATGATAAATGACGAAAATAGTCTTCAAGAATCATCCCAAATCGCTCTACTTGTTTTTCAAGAACTTAAAAGTGAAGAAATGAACTTAAAATTCAAAAATTAGATGTTTACTACCTCTGTCAGGCCTCCTTCTTCGCAATCCCGGTCACTAGCCACGCGATCGCGGTTAACAAATGTTCCAGTATCATTTTTTCATCGCATTCGTGGCCAAGAAACCACGCGATCGCGATGTAAAAATTTTGTTTTTCTCTGCACAGACACCCTTCGGTATAATGGTCATAACTTTTTATAAAATTATTTAAATAATAAACAATTTAATTTTCTGAAAATTATATTCAAAGGCTACAATTTTTATTTTTGGATCATCCCCAAATTCCTTATAGATTGAAAGATATAAACTCCCGAAATCAAACCACTGACAACAGAAATTTCCTTCTACATGATCGCGATCGCGATTCACAAGCCCTGAAATGCACTTTGTCCTTCGTGATCGCGGTTCAGACCTCTGCGAACACGATTCACAACCCTGTGATAAGTTATCAACAGCTTAAGAAGGCCAAAAATAGTCCGAAATCACCCCAAAACTCACCCAAGGTCCGAGGAACCCCGTCCAATCAATATGACAAGTTTATGTACCCTATGTAAATTTGTCCAAAGGCTCGGAATACGGATTACAACATCGAAACCAAGAATTAAATATCAAACTCAATTTCTTAAACTCTCTGAACTTTCAAACCTTCATGCTTCGTCGAATGCATCCGATACTTAGACATTCTGGATTACGACCAAACTTCACACACAAATTTCGATCAACTAAATGAACCTATCCAAGGTACCGAAACACCATCCAGAGTCTGATAACATCAAATTTCACTCCAAGTCAAACTTAGCAAATTCAAAAACCTTTGAAACGTAAACTTTCGGCAACAAGCACTGAATCTCTCCCGGACCATCCGATACTCAACCCGAACATACGCCCTAGACGTAAATTACCTTACGAACCTATAAGAACCTTCAAATCCTGATTCTGAAGCCGTTTACTTAAGTCAAACCTTGTTCAACTCTTCCAATTTAAAGCTTCAGAATTAAGAATTACTCTCCAAATCAGCTCTGAACCTCTCGAAAATCGAAACCAACCACATCCGCGAGTCATAATGCAAAATGTGAAGCTACTCAAGGTCTCAAACCGCCGAACAAAGTGCTAAAGCTAAAAATGTTCGAACGGATTATTACAGGAAGACCAAATTCCAACACTGCAAAAAGAAAATTTACATTTCTTTAGCGATCCGAAAAAAACCTTTTTCCATTAATTTCCTATTTTTTTAGAATTTAAGTTCCATGCAGAAATGCAGCGCGGCCGCGTAGGAGTCTTGGCCTTCGATCACTCACTTCTGAAGCTGGGGACGCGGGACGCACAAAGAGGTAGCACGGCCGGGCAGGCTCATGGGCGCGAACCGCACAACAATGAAGCGCGACCGCGTGGACACCAGCGCTGACCGCGTAGAAAGGAGCACGGACCGCGCATGGAAACCCTTAAAATGTATACTCTCTGAATCTCCTAGCGCGGCCGCGCAGCAAATCAGTGCGGTCCGCACTAGGTCCTCTTGTCCCCACTTCAATGATTTTTGACACTTGAGCAGGTTTCACTCCGTTTCGAGCCGATTTTTGACTTTTGTCATCTTGTCGCTCAAACCTGCAATCAAGCGCACTTTGTAAGCATTCAGGGTCTATTTTATGACAATTCATACATAAAGCATAAGCAAGTATGGGCATAAAACGTGTTAAAATCACAGTTATCAACTCCCCCAAACTTAAACCATTGCTTGTCCTCAAACAAATAAGATAAGACTCACCCCTCAAAAGGAAACATCCAAGTAACTCCAGCTTATTCTAAGGAAGCCTCATCACGCATCAATTGGGACTAACAATTTCCCTCAATACGAATGCATCATTAACACATTTTTAAACTTTTAAGAACTATGGATCAAATGTGACACAAGAGCATCAAGGGTTGACTCATTTCATCAAGGCGCTTTTCTCAAATACCTTGGTCATTGTGGAGCCCAAACTCACACATCCTCAACTCTCCCTAAGCGAACCTCACCTTTTAGAGTAATGACACACAACCCGAGGTTGATGGATTTTTCACTCATTTCTCTCATAAGAAGGTCATAAGTCNTCAAACCTTGTTCAACTCTTCCAATTTAAAGCTTCAGAATTAAGAATTACTCTCCAAATCAGCTCTGAACCTCTCGAAAATCGAAACCAACCACATACGCGAGTCATAATGCAAAATGTGAAGCTACTCAAGGTCTCAGACCGCCGAACAAAGTGCTAAAGCTAAAAATGTTCGAACGGAATGTTACAGGAAGACCAAATTCCAACACTGCAAAAAGAAAAATTTATATTTCTTTAGCGATCCGAAAAAACCTTTTTCCATTAATTTCCTATTTTTTTTAGAATTTAAGTTCCATGCATTAATAGTGTTCAAAGTATTACACAATACTATCACAGGTAAATATCTATGATAAATAAATATTAGCTTGGTAAAAATAGCAAGTAGCTTGGAAACAATTATAGGTCACACTACACCGATAATGTAAAAAATATATATATACTTAGGTGTCATTTGGTTAAGGTTTGAAGGGATTTAATCCCAATATTAAAGTCCATCAGCATTCTGTAGGTGTACCATGTTTGCTTGCTTTTGTTGTTCTCGTAAATAGTATATGCATAAGTTTTGTTAGGATCTATATATTATATTATACGAAATAGAATTGAATAAGAATGCGAATATTGACAATATATGGATTTAAAACACTTAAATGA